GTGTGTGTGTGTGTGTGTGTGTAGGCCTATGAATCTGACAAAGAGAGAAGTCTTGGTGGTGGCCAAGAGAGAGCAGCTTAGCTCAGTCGACTAATCTGGTGGTAGCCACTGTGTGTGCGCTGAACCGCATGGAGATCTCTAGGTCCCTGGTTCAATTCCCATCGCTGCCTCTCCTTGGGTTTCAGCTGAAGGGCTGAAATACAAGTTACGATAGCGCATGGGTTAAGCCGTTAGTCACATGTGCATTTATGGCCCACGCGCACGTTAAAGAACGCAGTAAACTCTTCGGAAAAGATAGGGGATTGTCTCCCGGTGTACTGCCCAATCACCACCAGAAGGACCCCACTGGAAATAAAGTCTACTTTCGTGGGCTTACACCGAATAAATCAAATCCAATCCAATTAGAATCTAAGAGCTTTTTCATTTATAACAAAATCCAATGGTGGATCCAACTATAACTTGTTAGCACCCACCCCATATCAATCATCCAAATTCTAATGCTGCACAAAAACAGGCAGCTATTTTTTATATTTCTGTTTACAGGCACTGGCAACCACAAATAGATAAGGTAACCAGGCATTTTTTTAATACTTAGTAAGTAGAAAATGATGACAGGTATAAAGCAAGGAGGTGCACCTTTTCGGTTTCTGGCCTCTTGACAGAGCACTGTACATGTTTTCCTATCGTTGTACTTTTTACCCAGTCAGCAGCATGCTGACTGGGTTCTGTTTCCTAGCAGTTTCTTTCTTTACCCAGTCAGCAGCATGCTGACTGTGTTCTGTTTCCTAGCGGTTTCTTTACCCAGGCAGCAGCATGTTGACTGGGTTCTGTTTCCTAACAGTTTCTTTCTTTCTTTTTGGCAACATTTTAAAAGACTCAAATTTACCAGGAATGATCCTTAGGACCTTCTAAACATGAAAAAATACTCTTCACCCTATATGTCGAATTCAATCAAATTTGGTCATTAAGAACCAGTGACACCTCCTACTGGCATCAGTGGTTACATAGGGTTCATCAGGTTCAAAATCAAACTAGTATATCTAGTTCTTTCTTTCTTTCTTTCTTTCTGGCAACATTTTAAAAGGCTACTAGTGGCAAACTACTGGACCGATTAATTAAAACTTGGTCAGTAGGAGCGGTGCCACCTCCCATTTATGTGTTGTTCACAACTTGGGGTCAAATGTCACATAAGGGGCATTAGGGTCAAAAAACCAAATATCGTATAAAAGACTACTTGTCTCACAAATAACGTAACACAGTCTTGTCCTTTGCCCATATACATTGGCATAAGGCAGGGTCTATAGGGTGTTCAGGGATAAGGGGTCAAAGGTCATTAAGGGGTAATTTTTATCTTTTTTCTGTCAACACTTCAAAACGCTATTAGTGCCAAACGGTTGTGCCGATTTCAACCAAACCTGGTCAGTATAATCGGTGAAACCTTTCATACATGGGGTGTTCACTGCTTGGGGTCAAAGGTCAAATAGGGGTCATTAGGGTAAAAAACTTTCAAAAAAATGAATAAAAGACTTCTGTCACAAATATCATAGCACAGTCTTGTCCTGGGCACATAATATGGTGTTCAGCGATTTACGGTCAAAGGTCATTAAAGGGTTATTCTTTTGTTCTCTCTAGTAACATTTCAAAATGCTACTAATGGCAAACCATTGGACCAAATTCAATCAAATTTTGTCTTTAAGAACCGGCGACACCTCCTACACCCCAGTCTAGGATCAGGGGTCACATAGGGGTCATCGGGGTTAAATTTTCAAAATAGCCCAATTGAGCTCAAATTTACCAAGAATGATCCTTAGGACCTTTTAAACATGAAAAAAATACTCTTCACCCCATATGTCAAAGTTCATAAGTCAAATGTTCAAAATGTTACTAATGGCAAACCATTGAACCGAATTCAATAAAATTTGGTCATTAAGAACCAGTGACACCTCCTACATCCCGGTCTGGCATCAGTGGTTACATAGGGTTCATCGGGGTCAAATTTTCAAAATAGCCCAATTGAGCTTGAATCTACCAGGAATGATCCTTAGGACTTTCTAAACATGAAAAACTACTCTTCACCTATAGGTCAAATATCACAAGGGACTATAGTGAAAATTATCAAATATTACTAGTGATAACGATTGGACCAATGGCATTAGACAGACTCCTACCAAACATCGGGTGTTCACAGGTTGAGGTTAAAAGTCACAGTGGTTATCTCTTAAAAAATGACTGGGTTCATGTTCTATTGAACATGGTATCTCTAGTTATATTCTTATGTTTTTATTGGTTTGACAGCTCTGAAATTTGACAACTTTATAAATTTTATATATTTTTTTTAACAAGACGCCTTTAATTTTCTCAAAATTTCAATTTGTTTAAATACTTCATTGATGCTTTTATCAATTATTTTAATATTTTACTTTTATCCTTCTTATGTTTTTTATTAATTTAATTTTTTTTATTCCTGCATATTATTATTATTATTATTATTATTATTATTATTATTATTATTATTATATTTTATTATTATTATTATTCGTATTATTATTATTATTTATTTATTTATTTTATTATTATTATTATTGTTTTTATTTTTTGGTTAAAAAATTACACTACTGCACTTTTAGGTCTTCATTTTACAAGCTCGATTTTCATGAATGTGCTTTTCATCTTTTTTTCTACTTTTAACATATTTAAAAGTTTTAGGCTATTTGTAAATTTGACAATGATTTGATGATGAATAAGAAAGATTGAATTGAATAGAAGTGTGCCTTCTTATATTACTTTTTATATTAAACTTTATTACTGGCACTGGCTTCTTATGAGGTGATTCCAGAAATGTCCCGACGGGTTCCAACAAGCCCGACACTGTCGCTTTGATCGTCGGTTGCTGGTCCCGGAGAAAACGTTAAAAAAAAAAGAGGGGGGGGGGCTCGTTTACGGATTCGATTAGGATGGCAGAAAGAATAATAAAACTAATGTTGTTTGGATCGGTATTTAAATACCTAAGGGACCGTAGTTTTGAGGGGCCACCACTTAACATTTTCACGTCAGCGCATATTAATTTTTTGGGCCCTAGGTGCTCCACCAAAATCATTTTTTGTCCGAAAGAAAAAAAAGCTGGTGTTTGATAAAAGGATTTGTAACCCGGGCACTTGGATTGGAAAGCAAGCGGATTTTGCCAGTTCTAGCTTGATCCACTCTCATAAAAGAACACGACATTTAATAGTGTGAAATGAGAGAACTAGCATAGGCGGTGGCTTCATAAATTTGCCGACAAATAGTCAGACATGTCCGATGGATGGGTCCAATTAGAACCTCAGTTGGGGCCCGGAATAAATAAATCCTAGCTAGGTTCACTGGTTTTAGAGTTTTATGGTTTATATGGTCCAAGTTGTGCTTTTAATCCACAATATCGGATTGGCAATCATAATAACGTTATTTGGATATGGTTAATTATCATTTTTAAATGTTTGATCCGACTTTTTCGTGGTGTCGGACGACAGGAATCCCGGCCTGTCCGATGGGATGGCAAGTGTTTCCCTGCACCCACTGAGCTGGCTGTCATATAGTCAAATTAGGCCTAACAGGTCTGTAACAAAGAAAGTGGCTTTTTATAGATATAGTAGTAAATACTAATCATATCATTATCAGCATATCACACTATGCAAACTATATTTGTGAAATAAATTTAATGTGAACTAGTAGTACATACCTATTTTGAATCCAACTAAAATAATTTGAAATTGAACCAGGAAATATATGACGAAATTCGACATATTGGCTTCAAGTCCTCGTTAACCTGTTAACCTACTTAAATAACAATAGGAAAGAAGTGGAGTGTAATTTCGTATGTCAAGAGAGTTCATATTTAGCATAACAATGTTTAACTAGATTTGAACTCGTCACTGAGAACGAGTTCGGTGATCCGCCGTACTTTAACCCTCATTAAGATCACGCGGTGCTGATTGAAAAGTGTCATGCTAAAATATGCTGTAATTAGTTTTTTTGAAAAGAATAATTTTGAGCATTTTAAAAGATTTACGCATGTGTACACGTACGTCTTGACGCCTGTGAGCACGGTAATAGCACAAAGAGTGACTCCTGATATGAATAATGTGTCAGGAACTCAAATTATGTAACAAAACGTGATTTCCTGCATCAGTACAGGGCCGGCAGAACGTTTTTCAAAGTGGGGGGGGGGGGCCCCTTATAAGCAGGCGCGTAACAAAATTCTAATTTTCTAATAGCAACAAAAAAAAAAAAAATTGAAAAATCAGCTCACGGGTCCTGAAAAGGTAGGTCTCTGTCTCTTATACACATCTTACGGCATAGGTTTATTTTATTATTAATATAGGCCACACACGTGTTTGAAACTAAATATAAGCATTTTCATCGTGGTTTTATTTATTACAATCATAAGGCCTATTCTTGAGGCCCTTCTTTTAGGTAAAACGATCTATCTTAAATTTTCTTTCTCAAGTTTGGGACTATTATGTTTTTAAATAACTTAGAAGGTAAAGGAGGGCAAGCACAAGCTTCAACCTTAACAAATACGCGCGAAGCGCGCGAAAAAGTTTTGTGAAAATTGGCCTACCTCAACAAGAAATGCTCTTATGTTATATATGGCCACACTCGTTTTTTAAAACTGAATATGAGCATTTTCCTTATGGCTTTATTTATTACAAACATATTCTTTCAACATCATTACACATTGAGGCCCTTCTTTTAGGTAAAACGATCTATCTTAAATTCTCTTTCTTGCGTTTGGGACTATGTGTTATAACTTCGAAGGTAAAGGAGAGCAAGCACAAGCTTAAACATTTTTTGTTTTTTAAATTCTAATTTCGTCGGAATTGATCAAAACTCCCCAGAATGTGCAATTTTTAGAGGAAATTGGCCTACCTCAACAAAATATGCGATTTAAAATTTGAGGTTTTCAGGTACTTTCCTGGGTGAAAAGGGCATTCAATGGGGAAAGATTTTCCACAGATGGATATTTTCCCCTTATCCCCCGGTGGTTACGCCACTGCGGAGAATATCTGGTGGCTTAGATCAAATGTGCTATGGACACTTTTTGAAGTGGAGAAGGGGTTGCAGGCCGGGGTATTGTGATATCTGTTCATATCTGTTCATATCTTCTTTTTATTCTTGTCTTTATTTTTCTCTTCTCTTTTTCTTTTCCTTTTTCCTTTCTTTTTCTTTCCCCTTCTTTCTCTTTCCCTCCCTCTCCCCTCTTTCTTTTCTCTTCTTAAAGCCCGGTACGACGGCTTGGTCAGCCCGGTAAAAACCGTCAAGGGGAGGGGGGAGACAGTCTGCTCACCTGCCCCCGCCTGTTACGCCACTGCTTATAAGATGAATGGGAATATGAATCATGCAAATCTGGAATCAAATCTAGGTGGTGGGGTCAACATTCCTCCCCCGGGAAAATTTCTAGATGGCGGGAAATGAGCTTTCCCGACTTCTGACGTGTCTTTAATTACTTTTAAGTTCTTCAAAATTCAAGGTTTTCCCATCTTGAAAACGGTCAAATAATTTTTTCCCATTGTTATTACAGTAAATAGGGCTTATGTGTGTATACATACATAACAATTTAAAAAAAAATGAGTAGTTGCATACGAATTTTCCATGAATCGATGAATCCCAAAAAGAAAGGGGGTCCGGGGTTCTTCCCCAGGAAAAGTTTGGTTCCTAAAAGGCGGAAAATGAGCTTTCCCGACTTCTGAGGTGTCTTTTAAATTAAGGTCATTAAAAAATACTTCAGAAGTTGGGAAATCTCATTGTCCAGCATTTAGAAATCAATATTTTCCCGGGAAGAACTCGAACCTCCCTTTCTCAGGGTTCATTGATTCATTATAATTGATTTATTAATAATAATTCAAGAGGGGAACACCTTGAGTTTTGAAGAACTTAAAAGTAATTAAGTTCTTCAAAATTCAAGGTTTTTCACTCTTGAAAACGGTCAGATAATTTTTTCCTATTGTTAATACAGTAAATAAGCCTTATGTGTGTATACATACATAAAAGATTGAGGAAGTTGCATACGTAGTTTTTCCATGAATCGATAAATCCCCAAAAGAAAGGGTGGGGGTGGGTGGAGGTCCTGTGGTTCTTTCCCGGTAAAATTTTGATTCCTAGGTGGCGGGAAATGAGCTTTCCCGACTTCGGTGGTGTCTTTTAATGACTTTTAAATTCTTCAAAATTCAAGGTCCACACCCCCCCCCCTCCCTTGGAAATGATTCAATTAATCAATGAACTCCAAAGATAAAGGTTGTCTGGGTTCCCCCGGAAAAATTTTGATTTCTAGATGGCGGGAGATGAGCTTTCCTGACTTCTGAAATGTCTTTTAATGACTTTTAAAATTCTTCAAAATTCGAGTAGTTGCGCATGTGTATTCTTTTTACCATGAATCGATAAATCCCAAAAAAGAAAGGGTGGTCCGGGGGTTCTCCCCCGGGAAATTTTGATTCCTAGATGGCGGGAATTGAGCTTTCCCGACATTTGAAGTGTGTTTTAATGAATTTTATGTTCTTCAAAATTCTAATTTTCTAATAGCACTATGTTCAAAAAATTGAAAAATCAGCTCACGGGTCCTGAAAAGGTAGGTCTAGAATTCTTTTCTTTTTCCCCTTTTTTTGTTGCCCAAGGGAAGGGTCAGGACCCATGACCCCCTCCCCCAGATCCGCCAATGTGAATTACGAGAAAATGTAACTCGGTCGGGTACTGGATAAACATTCTCTTTCCCATCCTTCTCCCCCTTCTCCCTCGTTCTTTTTTTGCATTTCCGATCATACAAAAATTTCCAGACATTATATAGTTTTCGCCAAAAAGTGGGGGGGGGGCCGGGCCTCCCGGCCCCCCCGCTTCCGCCGGCCATGCAGTACGTGTTGCGTGCGTGGAAATGAAAGTAAGGCGCGTAAATATGGAAAGTTTTGGAATGCTGAAAATGACCCGAAACGTTCTTTAAACTATCTGAATAGTGATATGGAGAATTTTCAAATTTTAACAGACGCGTACGTCACGATGTGTGCGTGTACAGTAATGGCACACGAAATTAAACATTGTCAAGTGTTTTTAAAACCGCCTGTTAATTGGTAATGCCACACAAATTTTCCCTTCATATAACCTATATATATATATATCAGTCTGATGGCGTCGAAATACAGTCTGCCGCCCTATCTCTGTTCTATTTCTTTACACCTTTTAAGATTGGGGTTCACTTTTCATCCTAAGAAGCTATGTTTGATTATAAATAGGCATAATTATAAGCATAGTAATATTTGACGCACGCGTACGCGCACCTTAAGACGCACAAACAAAAAAGTAAGATACCTAACATTCAACCTTGACCTGAAGTATAAGCCCATTTAATATTATTCAGAAATGACAAATGGTTAAGATGATATGACGTCATCAACTTTTTGAGAAAAGAAATATAAATTTTTTCTTGTTTTTTAATTCAGATGTCAATATGGTGAGTCACAATGTCCGATCGGCTACTATGATATATAAAATTATATCTACAGCTCATGTGTTTTCAGAATATGTAATAAAAATTGGGGGTCACCTTTCATCCTAAGGAGCTATAACTGATTAAAAAAAGACCTGATATAAAACATATTTTAATTTTGACACACGCGAACGCTCGCTTTATTACTCGCGCACAAAAATATAATGTACATAACATTTAACCATGACCTGAAGTTTATGCCCACTAAATATGATTCAGAAATCACGAATGATTAAAGTGATTATGGGGTCATCAATGGTTTGGCGAAAGAAAGATGAGGGGGGTAAGCAAAACCCTATTTTTTGACCATGATGACGTCATCAAAATGTAAAAAAGTGAACGTATATGAAAGAGAATTGACTTGGCTATAACATACTCAAAGTTGGAAGAAAATCGACTAAGAATAAGCGAGATACGTTCAAATGCGCATTTTTCTTAAATGACGACATCGATAATATTCAGTTTGTTGAATTCAGATGGCAATATGATGACGTCATAATGTCCGATCAGTCATTATGACCTATAAAATCATACGTTCAACTCATGTGCTTTCAGAATATGTAATAAAAATTGGGGTCACCTTTCATTCTAAGGAGCTATAATTGATTGAAAATAGGCATGTTTTTGGCCTATTTTTGCTATATGTCGAAAAAAACGCGCACATGTGCTCTTATGTTCTATGCGCGCGTACGGCATTGCTATTGACCCTAAATGACCAAAAAAGATTTGAAATTTGTGAATATTCCAGAATAGTTATTTTGAAATTAAAAGAAAAGATGAGAATAGACAACTCAAAAATAAGAATGCCATCATAGGACCTGCCAAAATAGCAGCGTACCAATGAATGGATGAGGCCTGTTAATTATAGGCCTAATGTAGTGTTCTACTGTAGGTGCTTCTAGATGAATTCCCCTTCTAGATTATAAGGCTTAGGTTAAGTTAAATTAATGGCGAAATTATATAGCCTAAGTACGGAAGCGTATTGCTGCTAACTTAAAAAAAAATAAAATTCAGATATTATCTCGTTATTACGAGATATTATCTCGTAATAACGAGATAATTATCTCGTAATTACAGATATTATCTCGTAATAACGAGATATTATCCCGTTATTACGAGATAATATCTCGTAATTACAAGATATTATCTCGTATTTACGAGATAATTATCTCGTTATTACGAGATATTATCTCGTAATAATAACGAGATAATTATTTCGTAATTACGAGGTAGGGTAAGGGTGGGGAATTGTGGACCTCATATTTGCATAAATTAAAAAAATGTGGA